GCTAGAAAATGTCTATCTAAAAATAATGGTTTATCTGAACATGAGAAACATGAAAAAGGCTGCACCAAAACACCTGGGGTTTGAGTCTAAGGGAATAAATACTTCTGTTCTGATATATGTTCATATTAACTTCCAGTGAATTGGATGGACTATTAATTTTCTACCAACCTTTCACTCACCATGGAAGCAGATTTCACATAGCCCACAATTCTGCTCTTAGGACTTCAATAATTGTGGAATATTATCAAAGGTAGAGTTAGATTCCATTGTGGAAAGCATGAGGTTAAAGAGTTGCACTTCAATATGCAAAACTTCCAGTTCCTGTGGAAAATACACCATGTCTAAACAGCACAACCACTCTTTATAAGCAAGCAACCCATACACCATGCCAACAGCAAGGCAATAAGGTTATAAACTTGACACATAAAAAACCCTCCAAACACGTATTTTCTTATCTCTCCAGGGCTTGGGGACTAGGACTGGAGTCATCAACACAAAAGCAGAGCACAGACTCATATTGTAATGACCCTCTTTGTAATTCAACATGTGAGCAGAGAAGCAGAGACCAAACCTTTCAGTAGAGCTACTAGTGTTTCCTCATAACAGCGCAGGACTCACGGACATTTACAATGCAGAGCTCTCACCTCCGGATTTTATTTTCTTAGCTGACCTGAAAGCAGATAAAACCACTGGCACACAGGTACTGTGAAAGAACTCTCCTTCCACAGGTGTTTGCCTGAAGGCTGTGGGAGGAGCTGTTTATTCTGGGAAGTTGCTCTTTCTTTCCTGCGTAGAAAGACAAACCTCTGTATTTTCTCTCTGGGTTGCACACATGCCGTAGACATGCAGACATGGCCTTTTCCATGATTCCTATGTGCACCTGGACTTTTTTACAGCTATTGACAAAAGCAAAGACTCTGTTCCTTAAGTATGTTTACAGAATAGGGCAAACCTCTGTTGTTATTTTGGTCCTGAGTTTGCCATTCTTTTAGATAGTCAGGGCTCAAAAACAAGAGGGAGGCAAAAAGCTCAGGAAGGAACAAAGGTTTAGTAAAGTTTCACCTCATACTTCACTTATTTCTTTAGAATATAATGGAGTTAGAACACAGTGCATTTTTCTACTGACCTAGTACCTGTCGCCAGGGCAGAAACACTGCAAACATGTATTTATATATCCTGGTTTGTTTGTTTTTTCACTGCCTCCTAGGTATTCAATGATCAGAATGCCAAATTTTACAGATACTTGCTGCTTCATCCACTTATATTAAAATAATGTAAAAAAAAATCTCATTGCACAGCCCCAGAGAAAGGATTTTCTACTCAAAATAAGGCCATCCTGATACACAATGTTTCAACTTGCACATGACACTATGGGTTTTCATATCCTGCTGTGGAGATGAGCAAAGGCAGGAACTCTCTCTGTAAAGAGCAAGATTTTGAGATAGGAGAAACACAGGCTGTGTCTGGTCACTCATGGCTTCTACTCTCTGTCTCCAGGAAATGAATGCATGCAGCCTGCAGAGTTTAATTCTCTTTTGGTTTATTACTATTTAAAAATCAGTTTTATATCCCCTTCTACAGAGGCTTCACCTTCCAACAGAACATACAAAAAATACACACAATAGAAAAAAAAAAAGAAGATAGGTAGGTAGGTGAGTTGCTTTATACAAACAGGTCCCTAAGAACCCAAAAAGGCTAAAACAGGCTCGGTTTCAATAGAAGCAGGCCCATAAATAGGCAAGAGACTTCATTCAAGTAAGGAAAGAGTCATCCAACCTCACCTAAGATCCTTTCTTGCTCACACTGAAGACAATGGGAAGATTCCCAACAACTTCAGTAGAAGCAGGATTGGGATTCATCAGAGCCAATGGCAAACTTTTCTGCTCCTTCCTTTCCAAGGCACTGTCTCTTCCACATGGCATGCAGCCAGGGAAAAATGCCAGTTTTTCTGGCTCATCCCACACTCATGTTTCAGTTGTTCACTTCTACAGGACATCTGAGAACAGCCTTTTATTTTCTCTTACACTAATTGCAGCAAACTTTCAGATTACAACAGTACTGAAGAAAAATTCTGAGCCCAAGAGGAAGGCTTGTTTGATTCTTTATGAGCCAGCAGTCAGTCTGACAACTTTGCAGAGGACATGTAAAAATTGCCTGGAGAAGGCACCAGTTTGCAGACACAGCAGCCAAAAAGCTATTAGCAAGCATGAGACTGATTTATTATAAAAGCACTTACCAAGCTCACTATGTGACTGTAGGAAGGTCAAGAGCATTTATGGCTGCCAGTGGCTGCATGAAGTGACTCTGTGGTTCACAGGGAACCCAGGAGCTGGGATCGAGTCACTGGAACACTAGTGAGACACCAGTTACCTCCTTCCTTCAGCACATCTCAGCTTAGAGCACTTCCAGGTCTCCAAAATTGCAATACAAGTAAAGAGGCCACCAAGGAAAAGCTACATAAACCCTGATCATTAGTGCCAGTAAGTCTTAAAATTAATTTAAATATTTCATCTTTTAGGAGAAACGTGGCCAAATGTTTAACTTTGCACTGCACCTGAAATCAGTGGCACCAAACATTTGTAGCAGAGTTCAGCAGCACAATTGTGCAACATAATTTGGCATGTCAATCAAATCTTGAAAGGTTCTTACCCAATGGTTATAATCTCAATTTTTTTGGGAACAAAACACAGGAAGAGGCTAGAGATGACACAAGGTGTTAATTCTTTACAGACAGACAGTCACTATCTGCTGCCACAAAGCAAACTGCTGTGGTTTTTCACAAACATGCTGTAACCATTCCAGCCATCACCACAACCCCTTACAGCCAGGCTTCCTGCTCCTCTACTGCACCACTTTGCAGTTAGGTCACAAAACTATTTTTAAGTTGGGTTGTTGTTTTTTTGTTTGGTGGTTGTTGGTTTCTTTTTCTTGTCAGCCAAATAATTCTCTAGGTTGTTTTATAGCTAACAGTTATTTGCAGAGCTGCACACATCTGAGTGGGTATCACACTAGGACAGGAATGTATGAAGGGTGAACATGTCAAGGGAGAAGGCAGGAAGAAATTCTGCCAGTGCTGTTGCTGCTGACTGCAACAGTAAATATGGACTCAGGCTGCAGCTCAGGAGCTGCCTCCTTCTGGGTCCCAGGCTCAGTGCTCCAGAACACTCTGCCTTCTTCCAGGGACATGGAGCAGCAGATTGGGCTGAAAGCCAAATCTGGTCCCAAAGGCTCATTCACAACTGCTGAAGGATCTTGTTTTGAAAAGGATGTTCAGGATAAAAAACAGGACTCTCTCAGGAGACATGGGAATCTTCCAGAATCAGTTTTCCCTTTTAAGTTTTCCGATGTTGTTGTTTCTTGTTTGTTTTATTATCCCCTCTTTGCTCTTTTTTTTTGTCTCTTGGGGTGGAACTGAGAGCATAAGCTCAAAGATTTACTGTGAGCTTATGTTCTATATTCAATTAAAACTCAGGTACTGTGCCCAGGCAAAAGGTGAATGGTAGAAAGCTGGCTTAATTTACATTAAAATATTCATAATGCTGTTAAGGTATATTCATAATGCTGAAAAAGCCAACACATTTAATGGGTTTGTTTGGCACTTGCTCTCAGAGTTTCTGCCATGCTGAACAATTGAAAATATCTGATCCTTTTTGTGGGTTATAAAAACCTTTCCTGTTTAATTACTTAAAATTTTGGTAGCTGTTTTTTACTTTGTCCATTTATCTCTCATGAAACCCAAAGAGAGCTCTTGCTCCCCATTCATTCTTCCAACACTGAAGTCTGGAGTTTCTCTGCAGTTTACTTTGGCATCTACTTCCTCAAGCAAGCACCTTAAAAAAAATTAAAGCTGAAAGTGGTACCCCACTCCAGACTCAAGACATAAATTCAGATACTGATTTCTAGGAACAAAGATTTAGTGAAAAAACAAGACACTAAAGTTACAACAGAGCCTACAAAATCTAGGTTAGCTTTCATACTATCAATTCAATTAGTCGAGTTAGACATTCAGTTACACAACTCTTCTATTCAAGTCATTCCTTACTGCTGACAGCAGTTGAGGGAGGAACAATAATTCAGGGAATATATGGGAAATGACAAATATTCCCTAAGTCACTGGCACTCAAACAGGTCTAAAATTGTGACTGGGCATTTACAATTATTTAAAAGATTGGCAGGAAGACCAACTCCACACCATCTTCTAGTTCTAGGCTTTAAAAAACAAACAAAACAATAATTTCCCCCAACATATAATACTTTGCCCTACTATAGTTAAGGCACTGGATTGAGAGAAGGAAAAATCTGTGTTCAATTTCTGGTTCTGCTATCAATTTCCCACGTCATCATGGGCAAATCACTTCAGATTGAGGGCTCACGCAAACTACACTTCCATGCATTAGGTGAGCCACACTAACAAGCCTGTTTGCACACATCTAGCACAGGACAAATGCAAGGTAATGTCACTTCATCTAACTCATTATGGAGTATATTCACAATAAATTGCTCTACCTTGCATTTGTTGAGGATTAACAGTACATAAAGAAATTATTTCAGGCAACAAAAGAAGCCTGAAAAGAAGTCTGTGGCCCTACATTCAACACAACACTTAAGCATGCATGCAAAGAGGTTTTTAGTCCATCTTTATTTCACTTGTTTACCTAAAACCATTGATTATTTTCTTGTCTATCTTTAATATTTAGATTATAAATGGTGGAAGATGTTTTCATCATACCTAATACAAAGGAGTCTGAGCCTCAGTTGAGGGGCTTCAGGACTCCTGTAATACAAGGAAACACTACAGGTCTGATTATCAAAATGTATATGAACTGAAGTTCCCTTCTTGGCAGAGAAATGCACTGACTCAAATGTTGGACTGCAGTTCTGCCAAAGCAGATGACAAGGAAAGGAGGGCTGGCCAAAACAGAGAACCATTATCTATACACTTACATGTCAATAAAAAAAGTCATGGAAAGAAGTTAAGTGAGGTTGCAGCTCAGGGCATGTTAAGTATTTCACTCTGAACTCTGAACTTGTGAGGCTGAGTTTTCTGTTTGGAACTGCCTTCTCTTCTATGAGAAGCAGACATTTCTCAAATTACAGAATATAAAGAATTTGCATGTAGATTAAATTACTATACAAACAAAACAATATGGCCCCAAAGGAGCAAAAAGTTCTGAAAACACACCACTGCCAAAGATCTGCCCAATCTACTGCTGGGACTACTCTGCACCAATCTCTTGTGTTGGTGCAAATCTCTCCCATTTACACCAGGATGATCTAGAACTGCCATTTCAGGATTGTTAACTTCCTGCCTAATTGTTTCTCTGTCCACTAGACTGAGAAGTAAGTAGCTTTCATTCAATGTGTTCATGGCAACTTAGTAAGCATTTTCTTTGACAAGCAAAATGCACAGTTAGTGTTTTAGTAGGCTTTTTTTTTTTTTTAGTTCAAGGCTTTTTTTCATTTGTTTCATCAGGTCAGATTCTGTAGCATTCAGTTTTAAACCCAGATACACATGGCCAAAATTCAACCCACTAGTAACACAGCCAGTAGAGATAAATATAGGATGAAAATATCCTATACTCTAGACTTGTTTTTGGAGTTGAATTTTATGACTAGTACACCCTCCTTGAGTGCATGTAGGAATATACGGGACACAAACTTCTCTTTCTGAATACAGCCTCAATTCAACACAAATTTTCCTGGTGGCTTAAATACAAGCTGTTATTAAATCAGAGTGACTGCAGTTGAATTTGCTAATCCCAATGAGTTATGTTGACTGGAAAGCCTGCTCTATCTCAACTTGCTTGGCAGTTTACCAGGTTGCCTCATCATGGTCTAGATTTGTGAGGTATTTTAAAGTGTTTTGTTACCTTTCTGAAATGTCCTGTTTCTACTTGTTAACTAAGCTTACCAGTACAGCAATAGCAATTCCATGAAGCTTTACTTGGAAAGTGGGTTGGTTTGTTGCTCTTTTTTTTCCCCTTCTAAATGAGACTCACACCTATTCCAGGGATTCTGGGGGAAGATGAATGGAGAAGAATATATTCTTCAGTCTCCCAACATAGATTAATAGCAAAACATCAAGTCCACTGCAACACGCTCTCAAATTTAGAAAGTGCTGGTGCTATAAAGAGAAAGCCACTGATTATTCATCCTTGGTTTATAACACTCGAGAGCAAGTACAAAAGTAGCTTCTTAGAAGAGAGAAACTGGGGCTTCTAAATCTGTAGAATTTAGAACATAGTTCAAAAAATCCTTATATTTACAAAAGGCTTTATAATTCTAACATAAAAACAAAACAGGAATGTGTTCACTTATGCCCTAGCTGCAGGGTTTTGATTAGGAGCACCTGGGCAAAGCAAGTTGTGGCACAACAGCTGTGTGTGCCTACCTTCATGTTTGATACAGATGTATCTCCTGCAGAGGATGGAGGTCCTGCCCTGAGGTGGCCTATCCTGTTCCAGCACTGCATTAGTGATGGAGACAGCTATTGTTTCACAGAATGCACATTTGGTGTGGGTCTTGGGCTCTTCCAAGTGGCCTTTCTAGAAACATTTAGTACACAGAGCAACTTAGCTTACCAAATCACTGCTTAAACCATTGCTTATTAACCCTCACAACAATTGTGATGCAGAGAAAACTCTTTACAGATAGGAAACTAAGGAGTAAATTCAGTGACCTGTCCAGTGTGACCTTGAGCATCAACAGCAGAACCATAATTATAACTCAGAATATTCCTAACTCCTAACCCTGTGTTAAACAACATTTATACCTGGATTTGGTACATAAAGACCATGACAAGTTATAAGGGAGGAAAGGGAGGGCCAAGAAAGGACATAATTTCTGTACAAGTGGTATTTTCAGATTAAAAGGAACCTCCCGACATCCTAGAGCCCAGCTTCTTTGCATTTTGCAACCAATTCTTCCTTAGAAATATGTTGCTTGCAATTCCCATCTCTTACAGTAGAAACCCTTCTTTTTTGGACAAGAAAGGAGTTAGACTGGCTTTTGCAAACCTGACTAGAGGCAGATCAGGAGAGCACGACTGTAGCCAAAAAGCCCAGATCACTGAGAATACAGTACAATTCAGAGAGGGATTAATGTCTTAATTACTGGCTCTCATTTGCACACCTCTTGGACAGGTGGCTAAATTGCTCAAAAACCAGACAAAACGAGGGGATGCAAAGTAACATACTAACTTCTTTAATAGAGTCCAATCCAATTAAACCAAAATCACTCTGTGAACCCCTGGGTTTATTCACACTAAACAAGTCAGTGGTACATAGTGTTAACCCGAAGGCTGATTGTGTTTATACCCTAGGTCCCCACATGAAAAATGAGCACCAGTCAACGAGACTGCAATGGTATTTTTTCCTTCAGTTTTTTTTTCCTTTTTTTTTTTTCATAAAACTATGTATTTCATCGACTTAAAACAATCAACTAGCCAAGTTATTAATTATGGTACATCTAAAAAAAAAATTTAATACTAACCCTAATGTGACTGCTGCTTTAAGAGTGCTCTGGGTATTGCCTTAGACTGGCTTTTCAGTAGCAATTCACTACAACAGGTCCTAAAATAATAATAATAGAGAATTAAAACCTGACAACAAGTTTAATGGTTAAAAGTAACAAAAAAAACCTGTTCTGAATGGTGATTTTTCTCAGCAGTTCAGTCCTGCTGCAGCACTCACAGCCTCACAAATGGCAGAAGGGGTTCAAATTCTCTCACCTTCTTTAAATTTTCTGGTTTTAAAAGGACAACTGCACTGTGACCTGCTAGGTACCATGGGGCATTTTGCTTAACATTATATTCAATAATGGGTCAATAATAGGTCTGTTTTAAAAACTTACTGTTTTTCTGGGGTAGGTTAGGGAAGATGGGGAATAGAGAGAGAACAGCATAGCTCCCTGTAGCTGTAGCTCCCCAGGTGCCTTGGTCACCAGGACTGTCTAATTCTCACATCACTGCTGGCAACTTCTGTTTATTCTAGAAGATCATGACAAAAAGCCAGCAGCAGCCTCTAAAGCTCCATTTGGTGTTTTAGGTCATGTCTTCTTTTCAAGGTCACCATCTTCTGTAATTTATCAGCTAAGAAGCATTTTCTCCCTCTCCCCAGTGAATGTTTAAAGGTGGGGTAGGGCATGAGACAAAGAAGGAAGCTAAAATGAATAAAAAATCCTCAGCTATAGAACCAAATTTCATTATTTCCTCTTTCATTCACAGCATCTCATCATTATAGCCAGACTGCTGCTTTGCTTTGTTGGGATCAGACTGATCTCATTTCCCCTCTGGCCCCATCGGTTGCTGGTCGACCTCTGGATCCACTAGGGATGATGCAAATGCTGACTGGACGATCTGAAACCCAAACGACTCCAGAAGAGACATGTTCTGTTGGGGTGAAAAGGGGGATCCTAGAGCAGGACCTAGGTCCCCTAATGGGCCACCAAGGGCCCTGACGTGAACTTTCTGTATGTGTTTGTTCAGATAAGACTTGGATCTGAAAAAGCTGCCACACTCAGGACAAGGGTACTTCTTCTCTCCTTCCGTCTCCATTTTGTTTTTGCTGACTGCCATGTCACACGAGAAGGACCCATTGGTGCTCTGTTTCTCAGGAGTCTTGAGGTCACTGGTGTCAGAGAGGTCTCCGTATGAATCAGAACTCTCAATCGGGTCCGAATGTGAACATTTCTGGCCTTCTACAGGAAAAAGAAAAGAGAGAAGCTTTCAGAATCTTATCCCCCAAAAAAATGACTTAACGTGCATTCAAATAGATGACACTGGTTACTACTTGATTTAATTAATGCCTGTCATGACAGAATGATACACACTTCACATCACAATCCCTCATATTCTAATGCCCTTGACCATAGGTCCTGTTTACAAACCACCAGGCTGCTATTAGAGCAACATCCAGGTTTTTATTATGGATTTGTCATGATACTGAATGCATCCATAGTGAGTCTCTGGTTTATATAATGCTTTCTTGAACCCCAAAGATGTCTCGCAACATTTATACCTCAAGCACTATAAAAGGATGGACTTAATTACAAGTTTAAGTCTCTCCCACTCTTCTGAAACATTGTTGATACTTTTGGAAGAGACTCTAGAGACCTAATTAAGTGTTACATGCTGCAACAAGATGTAAAGAAACCTGGAAATACTTGGAAAAAGAGCAGTGAGCTACTGCAATTGGTTCTGAGGAACTCTTTCTTACAACCTAAGTGCAATGCTGTTAGGAGTTAACTTCACCATCTGAAATTGTTCCATCTGTAAATACTGTAGTGTGAAATAGGAGAGAGGTTAGGGACAACTATTTTAAGTCATTTGGATACATATCCTGGCAAAGCCATTGGTATGTTTGGAAGTGTTCTCCACTCTCCCCTGGCAGTAAGCCAAGAAAGTTTGTCCACACTTTTTGCTCAGCGCATATGAATGAGCGTGGGAAACCCAGACTCACTCCCTAAACAAGTCTGTGAATACAAATAAGCTGTATCTACTATTAACTCTAAAAGACCAAAGAACCACTTGGCACAACCCAAAAGACAGATTTGCTCTGGGGCCGGCATTACAAACCAAACAGGATATGCATGAAATCAATACACCACTGAGCTGGAGCAAATCTCTTGTTAAGTCAGCACACCACCCAAAACCAAAGGGCTTCTGTAGTAACTCTATCACGACATCAACAGAAAAAAAAATTACACAACTGTAGCTTTCTGCTGGCACAGACTTTGTTTAAACCAACTTGCTGTGTTCTCCTGGGAAGGAAAAATCTGACTTTTGGGGACAAACATGGTTTTGAAGAATTTTCTGATGTTTCAGCTTCACCAGAAATACTGACAGCTCAAACCAAGAAGCAAAAAGCAAGCTATTCTGCATAGAATAACACACAGCTTTACACATTCAGAATCTAAATACTCTTTAGCTGTTCTTACAATATCTCTTTTCTGTTTTTGTTTTTCCCCAGAAGTTAAATCCAAGTTAAAAACCAAAAAAAGTAACAGTGCTATTATCACCCCCTACCTTTCCTCCCCAACAACAGCATTCCTTTATGAACTGAATTCTGTGGCTCCCTTCTCCTTCATGGAAAATCAGGAACATGGTTTGGTTGACGTGGGATTTGAAAATAGCAAGACTGAGGAACTGCCAAGAATCTGCACCCCTCAGGCAAAATTCAAACACTGGCTGTTACTGGGAAGATGGTCAAGATATACTAAATGTGGCTTTTTCAATCTCTAAAATCAAAGAAGTTGCCAAAAATTCATGTACCCTTATATGCCCATCTCCTTCCCTCAGACTTAAGTCTGCTATCCAAAGACAGGTATTGCATACTATGCCATGCCATGTGATTTCTCCCTAAGCATCTCTCCAGTGGTTTTGCTGACCTTCTTCCCTCCCCTTTCTCATGCCCAGCCCAGCCTCCCACAACACAAAGTTCTGCACAAAGCAGCAAGGTGCAGAGCAGTAAGTCTCTTGCCTTTGATGCCATAGGTCCTGACGCAGTGGAACGCTGCTCCCCCATTCGGGATGGACTCCTGGTGCCTGGAGACCTGGGGAAGGGGAACACCGTGGTGGGTTTTAACATGGACCTTTAAGTAGGAGGCAGAGGAGAAACCTAAACAAGATAAAAGGAGATGAGATCCTGCCACCAGCAAAGACACACATCTGCCTTCCCTGTTATTTTAATCTTTCCCTTGCTCCTGCTCCCTATTTCAAAGATGCCATTATGCTACCCTGATTTCTGGTTACCTACAACATACTCAGGTAGGACTCCTAGACATCATCAGGCAAAGCATACTTTTCATTAGATTTCATTTGCTTTTTGGAAAACATGATGAAAGAACAGCCTCCTTGAGAAACAAATCCCATGTAAGCAAAACTAGCTTTCTGGAAAAGGCAGAAGACATGATACAAAAGGGCACCCAGGTCTCGTCCCTATTTTTGTGCTATTTTAGTTACGTTAATTAAAAAACCCTTCATCATCTGCTAATACTTTGAAAGACAGTTCAAATGAGTTTATTTTACACTGTTAAGTTTTGAAGGAATGCCATTTAGTAACACCCCTCTTTGGTATTTAGTGTGCTTTCCCCTTCAGTTTCTAGCATTTGCAGTGGCTACTAGAAGGCAGAAAACAAAAAGTACTGAGTTTTTAAGGTATATAGTTTTATCCTACAGTAATTTTTTGAAAGTATTTCCTTCATTCAGCTCATCCTGACTTTTAAAAAACATATTAAAACTCATATATTGTTTATTATTTAAAAAAAAATAATAATCCAATATTTCTATTAGTTCTGACCTGTAAACCAAACTCACTGAAATTAAAGACATATATTTCAAACAACTGATTTCTGAACAAAACAGTTTTTTACATTATTCATTAGGTTTTTTAAATTGTTTTTGAAGTCTCACAAATACGGCCTTTTTCTTTAATGCAATAAATTATCTCACATATATTTTGTAGTATTTCTAAATTCAGATTTGAATAAGATTTGCAATTAGTACTAGTACATTTGGACCACATACAAAGCACAAGGAGGGCACAGTTTTAAAGACTTCCTACACAGGTAAGCCTACCAACAACCCTCTTAATTTTGTTATATTTTGAAAGCAATATTATGGCACTTCCATGTTAGAAACATTTTCTTTTAACAACTGAGAACACAACACAAGTTTCAGCATCACAGACACAGAGCTCCAGATTCTCTTTCTGGATAGAGAAAACCCAAGATCTCATTTTTTTTAAAAAAAAAAATACAGCATTTACAGCACAAGCCCTTGCAAGAGAACTTTCATACCAATGCTTCACTTTAAATGGGAATAGACACACTACTGTAAAGCCATTTCTGTAGTGATATACTGCATTTACATTCCATGATATATAATAATATATTAGGAAGGATGCAAAACCAATACTGGCACAGCTCTCTGGGGTGGATTTTCTGACAGCAGCTGTTAGTTTCAGGTGTTGAATTTAATAACGGAAGTGGCTTTACACAGGAATTCCCTGTGCCTATCTAACAGAATACCCCTCTACCGAGACTTTTCTTAGAAGTCAGGATCAAACTGTATTCAGGGATTATTAAGAATTATACATATAGGATCTTCAGAGCAAGACAATTCCACAGCAACCTGCTGAAGGGGAAAAAGGGCAGGTCACTGAGAATGAACATGAGAGAGTAGAACCCTGAGTTGAAAAGTACAGAAAAGTAGATACATTACAACTGAAGAAAACAAGAACATGTAACTCTCAAAATACAATGGAGCAGAAATCACCCAGGTCAAGTCATCCAGAGAATTAATGTAAGGATATTATCCTCTGAAATAATGCAAGACCTACCCTCAGACACAAAATGTTGTACTGAATACTTCACTGGGTCACAATATATATTTTTTCCAAATACCAAAAATTCACTGTACACATGGAAAGAACGAGTGTTTGGTAGAGAAAAGGACAGAATGTACAGATGTAATGGTGATACTTCCAAATACAAGGTACTTCCCTTATGTCATACATGTGTCTAATAAACACATGCATGCTGAGATGAGCCTCTTTATGTGGCAATGCATTAAAACCTCAACGTCAACTGTTAAAAAAGGACTACACACAGGAATTCAGTGTTTTTCGGTACTGCAACTGACACCGGAAAAACTGAAGTTGTAATCTCTGCTTTACAGTGGTTTTTGTAAACTCTGCAATTCTACTTGCAGACTGTATCTTTTTATATAACAAAAACTGCCTGCAAAGTGTGTTAGCTCCCCTTTATGCACTTGGCAGAGGAACATGTGAGTCATCAACTTCCATCAAAGCAGTAAGAATGCCAACTGTTTCATTGGAAACTGTTTAAAGTGAGATTTTTCTGGTTTGTTTTGATCCTATTTTTTTTTCTGAACCACTCAGCATTGGCCATTTTTTTTTTTCCCCATCAGACCTTAATTATTAATGCCTGTCCTAAGAAGATGGGGGATACACAGACAATAATAATCCTTCACTTTCAAAAAATCTCTTTAAAAACACAGGCTAATGCAGACGACAAAGTGTCAGTGTTTTTCAAACAGGGAATGTATTTATCGTCTTACCCATACATTTTTATCAGCTTTGCAAAGCAGATTATTTCTTCACACTAGAGGAACTAACATTAAAAAATATGCATAGAGAAGAAATTACCTTCTCTGTGTAAATGGAACCTATTCCTTGATCTCTCAGTTAACATATATAAGGAGACAGACTATAGAAATAATTACAGGATGCTCCTTTTAACAAAATTCTGATTTGGATTTCACTGGAACATCTGGAGAGTATGTCTTTCTTTAAACAACTCTGTATTCTCCATGGAATATCCAAGAATTCATCTTATTGTTAAAAAAAAAAAATCTAACTTGTGATTGGAGTATTTACCTTTTTCCTAACTAATTTGGTTTCTGTGAAACCAACAATGTTTATGCATCTGAAACAGAAAATTAATCTTCCAAGTTGCAGATGTTATTACAGAATACCAGTTCCAGACTTGCCATTGTCATTAACCTCTTAAATTCTTTGAAAAAGCCCACACGAGCAAATAAAGTTCCTAAAGATGGTACTAGCTTATGTAACAACAAAGCAGGAACAGGTCTTTTTTATATGAACTGATTAAAGAGAATTTGTCTTAAAAAGTGAGGATGGAGGATTAGTTTTCAAAAGCACATTTTAGATTAATTCTTAAAAAAAATATTCAAAACAAACTCCAGAAAAAAAACCTCAACATTGTACAGCTTCCCTGATTAAACAAGATTTAATTGCTTCCATAAATATTCTAAGCATAAAGATTGTAAGTAAGAAAATAACCTGGAAAAAAACAAGTGACAGGTAGTAATTTTTGGACATTATACTACCATTTTGAAGAGTAAATAAATAAATAAGATCAGCAAATGATGTGGTAAACCAGTGCCTACTGCTCTCAGTAAGGTACTGAGTTCGCAACCTTCTAAATACATTCAACCCTTGGAACATGAGACACTTGAAGTCCCAGGGAAAAGCCCTCAGTCTGATGGGATAAATTGAGGGATTCTAAACTCTGCCTTTAACACTAGGAATGTTCAGCTGGGTAAGAGTCACCTTTTCATCCACTCCTTTGCTTTTCGGTAGGCCAAGGACCAAAATTCTCTCTACACGCAGCCTGAGTATTCTTGACAATCACTATATCAGAACTAGTTAAATTCTAGTTCAAAAACACACCAGCCCATTAGCTGAAGGCAGAATTAAACAAAATCCTACAGCACAAACACTGTAACCACGGGACACTCACAGTCAGGGGGATGGTGCCTAGTTTCTGACTGCACCAAAGCCTATTCAATAGATGTTTCTAATCCAGAAATTTTCCACTAGACTTCATCTTACCAGGCTCTACGCTTTAAAAGATACCTATTTACAACACTGAATATTGTAATTCGACTCTAGAACACTTTGGATTAAAAATTATGCTGTCATGAATCACTGATCTACAATCAAAATGAATTCATAACACAGTTGTTTGACAAATCCAGTCTGTAACTTCCCTTTCCTATGCATTTTAACACTAGGTAGATAGTTAACAATAATTCAGCAGATTAATTATGTTTTCTAAGTGCTGATGTAAACTGAAATTCATAACAGACTAAATTCAGACAACACATATGAAATACACAAAATTATAAGAAGAAAGTCGTTTCTTAAAGGTTGTGGTACAACAGGTCCCCCCTCCTTCTACCGAGAAGTGTGTATTTTATTTAAATTTGCATTGTACATTTAAAACTGTAAAGTGTGAGTAAACCATTTAGTCATTTCATTGTTTAAATGCCAGATCGATCTTTGTCATGCTGGCTGAATTTCGAAAGAGCTGCAGTGACATCCAGTGGTAGTTAAGTTGAAACTCAAGCTGATAAATCCTGGAAACAAGACAATTCCTCCCGACCAACATGAGCTTCTGTTTGGCATCACGTTCAACTGAAGGAGAGGAGGATAGCACCTTGATCTTGAACAGTGTCTTCCGTATTGTTACCACAAAAAGAATCAGGATAAGCTTAAGCAATTTTTCAGATGAGCCTTCAGCTAAAAAGGAGGCCAAGCTTCATTTTGTACCATCCACCTGGAGCTTCAGAATCTAAAGCTTTTCTACCCAGATGCCTTTTCCATTTAAACTGTTAACATCACTTTCAAGACCTCACAGACTGTTCAACTACTGGAAATACTTGCCCTTGCAATTTAATGTCTCTCATTAGTGATCAACTCCTAATCATCCAAAAGCTCCCTGGACAATCCTCACATTAAATATAGAACAGATTTATTCTTTCAAAAGACTTCACCTCTCTTAAATTATAAAAGGAAACACACATCATAAATAAGCAACTCATCAGAAAAAAAAAGATCTCAAAACACAGCAGCAGCCTCTTCCTACACTTACAGTGTAAGTCAACAATGTGTTCTGAAGTTATGTATTAATAATTCAAAATAAATAAACCAATAAGTAAAAATCAGGTTTTCAGCTTGCCTTACATGCCACAAATCCTAAATTTACAACTCTCTTCAACAGAAGAGTACCACAAACAAATGGAAAAGCTTCAAAAGCTCTTAGTCATATGGTTTAGTTTTAGGTAGTCCTTCAAGGAGCAGGGAGTTAGAATCAATAATCATTATGGGCTAATTCCAACTCAGAGTATTCTATGATAAAATGGATTTGTAAAGCACGTTTCTAATGCTCTTTACAAAATTTGTTTCAGAAATGTAACTTAATACAAAGAGGGTTAAGAGGGAGACGCATCTTGACTCTACTGCTGCACCAGGAGGCTAAGCAAGACTGATGTAGTACAGTAGAATTCTTTTATTTGTGGTACAGCATATAATTTTCAGTTTGGTGTATATTTCAAAGATTCCTCTTTCAAACTGAATGCAAGTCTAACCAGGCATAGAAAACCAAAAAATGTATGTCAAATAGCAGCAAGGCAACATGGTTATTTTGTAGGGATCTGGCTATTTTGCAAATTAACTTAAAGCTGTCTATAACCATTTTGCTTCACATTTAAATTGAGTTTCTTCAGGAACTCTCAGACATGGAAAAAGGCAGACCTACAGCTCCATCAATTTCAAGGTTAAGCCCTAAATAAGAAAAGCAAAGAATATGAACACGCATGTATTGTAACCTCCTCCTGTTGCAGACAGTCACAGAGCCTTACAGCTTCCCTCAAGTGTTGTCCCATCCCACTGAAATAAAAAAATAGTTTCTTCATTACCTCGGTTACAGATAGTGCAGAAATTGCTTGGTCCTTCACTATGCTTCTTCAAATGATCTGCCATATATGCTGCTCGCAAGTACTTCCCACACACCTGGCATGGAACTTTGTCTTCATGACATGCTAGGTGTGAGCGCAGTCGGTCACGAGTGGCAAAGGAAGCATTACAAGTCTGCAGGTATAATGAGAACCATGTGACTCATCAACTCTGCTAAAAGAACTGATATTGTTGAATGTTTGTAGTATTCTTTAGAATAAATATTTTAGACCCTGGGCAAACACACAAATGACATGATGCACGAGGCATTTTCCCACAAACAAAACACTCCAATTACCAACATACCGCACAAGATGTGATTGATATTACTATTCAAAAGAATTAAGAAAGAAAGCAACTCTAACATACTACAGACAGTAAAGCTTAAATCAAGATAGAGTTGTAATGCCTTAGCTTCTCTCTAAGGATGAAGATAATAAAACTTTATGTAATATTTAAAGAAATAGCACAAACCACTTCTATTCCATTTACAGTAAATTCTACAATTTCATTGAGTCATTACAAACACTTTAGGCCACTCAAAGCATCTTCTCTCCTATCTTCCTAAATTTCACTCTTTGATCTGATCAATCTAACTTCAGAACACAGAATCCCTTAGGAGCACGATGATATACAAACAAAGCATCAGAGAACTGGCTGGGATGAGCATATGACAAAAGGCAGTAAAGGAGCCATCCACAGTTGCAGTGCAGACAAATAGCAGAAGAGAAGCCTCAGAACTGAGCAGGTATTAAAATAACTGCATGACACTGTAATCTGTTTATAACTTACCCCTGATTAAGGTATCATATTCCACTTACTACCGTGAAAGAAGCTTGACTTGACATAAGATAATAATAATTCTATTTCCCCATTCCCCAGACATAATCCATATGAGTGAAGGCTCCCTCCCATGTTTATAATAATACCAACTGGCAGGCATGCAGGTGTATAGCCTGCTACAACAGCCTGGAAGTTCTCAAAGACTTGCTATATGTCCAACACATGAAGGAAAATAAATCACCAGCAATACACTGTAAAAGTTATTAAAGATATAGTCTGAAACCATTGCTTTCAAGTGCAAGAGGAAAAACAAATGCAAACATACAATAGAATGATCAGGCCAAGTGGGCAACAGTGGCATTCAAAAGTGTGCAGTGTTTTGTTCATACCACCTTTAGAGAAAATAATGCAGCTAAGATGTATAACCAGAACCCGCTAAGAGATAATATAAGACTATTAAGTGACTTGGGAACTGGATATATTATGTGTTTTCAACCATCAGTACATAAGTAAAAAACTGTTTTAAGATATAGAGTTGTTATAGTAACAATTCTAGTAAAATTACAAAATCATAACTTCAAATAAGTGAAAGTGATAATACAGAAAAGGATAAACCATATAATTTTATATAATTCAGTTAATCAAGAGCTTAATCCAAAAAACACTGAAGGCAGCTGAAAAGTACCTATGAATTTCAACAGGCTTTACACTCCTTCAGCCCTGTGAGAAGCTTAAACATGGTAAACCCACAGAGCTGAGGCTACTCTGCAGTGAGCACAAGACTTGGCACCTCAGAGGATCGGGACTTAATGAACTTAAAAAGATAACAGTAAAATTATCTGGATTCCTGTGATACAGTTTAACTAAGCTCACCAAACAAAGATTCATAAATCACAAGTAGTGAAGATTAAGAGGCAAATCCTTAAACATGAAAGATTTCTCTTAATTTGAATCTCAGTACACAGTGCTGAGCAAACCAGATGCAGCTTTCACTTCCTAAAATGTTCTTAGAGGTAAACACTCATTGAAGGCAGGATTCCAGCACTGATACTTATCAATCTGCTGCTTATCAATTAAAGATACATAACTAGACAATCAAAGGTGACAGCCAAGAGATCCATCATCAATAAGTTTAAAAACACTGAGCCACAGTGAGCGTCCATACAAAAGCATTAGAGGGCATTAGTTGATGAAGCAGACCAGAGACAAACCACCTAAATAAAAGGATGCCAGAAGTAAAACTATTATCTGTCCCATATGGAACTTATCAAGTTAGAAGCTTAGGGAAAGGCAATATAATTGTTGCTGTGTTTGATTTCTCACTCTTGCTGCAGAGTTGTGCAAAGTTCACCTTTGGAAAAGCTATATATAAGTATAAGCGCTATATAGTAAATATAACTGCAAAGAAGCTTAAAAAAAAAAAAGAAGTCCAGTGGAGAAAGCAAGAACCAGTTTAGCTAAATCATAACAATGGGAGACAGGACTAGATTTAAAGAAAACCCCAAAGTTAATATTCAAATAGTTAATATTTATAAAAGATATAGAGCTAAAAAAAAGATTTATTTTATCAAAGATGTGAAGTGCTAAATGAGTGCTAATTATTTATCATTAATTGTTAATTGTAGAAGAAAACTCTCCAGTGCTTTCCTATCAACATTGCACAGGTATATAAATAGATCAAAAAGAATATATATAAAGTTTAAAAAACATTGTTTAAGAAATACCTCTTGAAGTTTCAACTTTTCTATGGATGTGGATGTCTCTGAGCTTATTCCATGGTGGCTGCCATTTTCCTGCTAATAGGCAGGAAGTAAGAGAAATTAGGACAGGAAGAAACTCATTCTGCATTGAAATAAATGGGAAAAGCACTGGACTGGGGATGCCAATTTTAGGTTTACTTAAATAAATATATCTTTTTCCTTGTCAAAAGTTGTGCTTTAACTTAACCTGCATTTTTCTCTTTTTTTAATTTAAATTGCCAGAAGAACAACCTGTCTCTTGTCTTTGAGAAGGAGCAAACTTCTGTTTTCTCCCCTTGTTCTTTCACATCCACAGATTTTCAGATCACCATTTCCTTCCAAACTGCAGCCTAACTTTCATACCATTCACACTCAAAAACCCAACAACCCAGTTTCACCCCTTCCCTTGGCAAGTTAGCCAACTAAACTATCCCATTATGGACAGAGAACTACTTCACTCTTGCATGTCTTATATCCAGAACTCAACTGTCAGATTAATAATAATAATAATAATAATAATAATAATGAAGAAAAATCACCAGGGCAACAATCCAGGAAAAAGAGTGGCATTTGCTGTTTTGTTTGGAGACCAAAGAACCTTCTTTGATCAGATTTCCCAGCTGCCTTGGCTTTATGGAAGCTTTCCCTATTCTGAGTCTGTTTTAACAGTAATGAAAAAGCTGGAATCAGGTCTTTGTCTAGCATCAGGTGCTACAGGTGCTGGAACTGAGGAGGCTTTCAACAAAGTGGTTGTGAAGCACAACCATTATTTTAGGGGATGAGTGCAGGATTACATGCTGAGCACTGAAAACTATAGCTGTTGCAGTGATGTTCAGCTTACCATTGCCCTGCTCCTCATAGCTTAATTTTATTTATTCTGAGGTTGGGTTGACACCTTTACACTATTGTTTTGTTAGGCCAAAATTGCATCATGATGCCACATCAGCAAAACAGTAGATATACACTGGTTTGCCAAGACACGTGAGGGCTCAGGTAAATGGCCAACAGAGCACTGCTTCCAAGAATGCCATTACAATAGAGGATTCTGGAAAGCTTTTCTGTTTACTGACAGAGTATTTATCTTTTGCAGTAAACATAAACAAAGCATGACAATAACAGGAATTTTCAACAGGAACTCAACAGATTCAAAAAGGATGCTGAATGCTGTTCAGACTGCTCTCACAAGGAGCCAATTTGCCAAATACAATTAATGGAAAAAGATAATAGAAAATGGGGAAACAACATGCCAACATTAAGCTATTTTCTTTGTTAGTGGCCAGATTCTGTGTTTAGATACATGTAATGGAACAGAAGTGTTACTGGTTATGAGATAACCACAAGGAGAACTTCATCCATTTATCCATCAGCTTTCAGATCTGAAACACATTTTCAGTGTGACAGCATGAGTGGTCTATGCCACCTATGTCAGACTTGCACATATTTAACAAGACTTTCTAAATCTGACAGCATATTATGAAGCATTTTTTGCCAAGACACACAACAGCTCTTGAATGAAATTTCTACATCAAGATTTACAAAAAATTCACTTTGCAGGGTTAAGCAAAGACAAGAACAAACTTAACCAAAACCAGGTTAACCAAGAACAAACCAGTCCTGAATGATAACCTCAAGTCTGTTCTGATGCTTGTGACCACCAGTCTATACATTTTAACTGAAATGAACAGTGCACACAGTGTTACAGCACTTCAAGATACAATGAGGAAGACTTCTTAGAAATTGCAATCACAAAACATGTGCAAGGAGGCAGAAGTTGAGCTTGGATGTACAATCTTAGCTTCCATATTTCTTGACTTTCTCCCTCTTACTGTATCCTCTGAGTCACACTTACAGAATTTATGTTTATTCTTAAATCAGTCAGAAAACTATAAAAAAATATCAGGTATCAGCTGGCAAAGAACAATTCACATCTATCAACATTATTCATAAACTGTGTTCATTCAGTAACCTTGGTATCAAGTGGCAAAAGACTGATGAGTTTTGTTCATTTCAGGACTTACTAATTTTCATACTTCCACACAAATACATGCTTATGGGAAAAAAAATTAGCTAGCTTCAGTTCATCCAACCAGACCCTGTTATCCCCAAATTGTGAAGTCTTTTTATGAGTGGAATTTTCCAATGTACATAAATTTGTAACCCCCAAATCATCTAAAAAACTTAAACCAATCTAAGGCTGTATTTGGGATATACAGTTAAGTATAGGCTCTTATACAGTTAAGCATAGGCCAACGTGAAGGCTCTACAGTCTGTTTTTCAAAGGTGATGGGCTTTCACAGATCACATGGAGGTCAACAGACACCTTTAGATGGCTCTGAATGTCTGGAAAAACTGTTCACTGGATTATTAGTTACAAAATGTTTCAAAACTCAGAATTTAGAGGAAACATGGGAGAGGTGTGTCAAGATATGAGGGAGAAAAATGCAATCAGGAGGCAGCAGTTACGTATGACACTAAATTAATGAAATGTGTTTAACAATTTTAGAAGAAAAAAATCCTCTAACTTTCACTGCCTCTAAAGAAATTGAAAATGATATTGCTCCAACTTTCTTAAAATAAATAAATAAATCTTTCTTCACAGATCAAGCATGGTCTCCAAGCATGTTAGCCCAGGAAACGTTTTAGAAGTCTGCCCAACAACTATGTGAAAGCAGTGTACGATCGTGGAAGCTGCTTCTCCACTTTGATTTTGATTAATACTTCCAGGCACTTTTAAAATCTCTCTACAAATGAATTACAAACTATCTTCCCTGATTTTATATTTTAAACCCTAATGAATAATTTATTAACTGTGAAAAACTATATGCAATGTTATGACATTGTATTGCAAAGGATACAGTAATGCTGTTATTTACTCTCTCCCTGGGATTAAAGAAAGCTTCCAGTTTTGCTCAGGGCAATGTTCTAAAAGCTATGTCATAAAAAAAATAGTATACTGGCAAGTAATGGTAATTTACCAATTTTATTTGAAACTATTCTAAAAAAAAAATGAAGTCAGCATTGGAGCCTCTGGTTGGCAACAACTGCAATTTAAAAAAAAAAAAAAAAGGGAGGGAGAGGAAAAGGCTTAGAGTTGACTCTAAACCCAGGGACAAGGTGGCTGGGTAAAAGATCCAGGGTGAGACTGGAATAGAGCAGTAGGGAAGAACATCTGGCAGAAGGGGAGGGAGGTAGGAGGACCAAAGCTGTAGATGACACTAGGGGATGGGGGACAGGAAGGATGTAAAGCAACTGTCACTGTTGAACCCTGATATTTACAAACATTTATCCCAATTCATACATACATGGCATTTTTACTGATGCTTCAGAATTGTCTGCACACATAAACATAACGCCAAAGATTCCCCACACATCACTCTAAATCCCTCCAGCTCCTACCTGACATTTGTGAGGTCTCTCTGAGGTATGCACCTGTTTGATGTGTCCGTTCAAGTGGTCTGGCCTTAAAAGAAAATACACATAAGCGCACTTAAAACAAATACTAAAAATAAATGTATAATTTTAACAAGAAAAAAGAAAAATCCCAATGGTGGATCTATTACAAACGTAGCAATATTAACTTGCCAAGAACCAGATTACCAACAGCTGGGACCCTACCTTGATAAGCACCCTCTCCAACTTGCTAAAAAGGCAGCATTTTCTCAAGAAGAAATTATGACTGAATGATCAGAGATAACAGGAAATATAAACTACAAATTACAAGCCTGCACGTCCTCCTTCCAAAATCCTATTTAGATCTTGACAGTCAGGGCACTTTAATTTACAGTTGCTGAATATTTGAAAATTCAGACCCTTTTTGTTTATGTCCCAAACATGGATGTAAGCAGCCAATTTTAAGCACCTCTGTGCAAAAAGACTGACTAAACTCTTGTTGTGGTGACATTTTCCACCAGCCAGATGAAAAAATACTGTCCTAGCTCACAACTTGGTGGGGAGACTGCATTAATACAAATAAAGTGCTCTGAAGGTCCCAACTAGAAGGTGCAATGGAAGAGCAAATTATTACTGAAGATAAAAGTTAGACCATTCTTCACAACCAGTAAAGCCTACTTTGAAACAGAGAGGACTGAATAGCTGCAGATTTTCCTGGTGGGAGTCTCTCCTAGTGGGAAGAAAGCTTTTCATTGTATGAGGCCAAAACTGCTTGGAAACAAGTTCCCCACCCTCTCCTCCCCCAACCTTCCAGCTGCGCCAATGAGAGGGCGCGGGATGGAATTCACGCACGGCAGAGAGAAAATAGACTGAACTTCGCAGTCAGGCAGTTAAACCTGATGCTTCAGCAAGGGGGCTGGAGCGGTGTAACCGGAAAGACTGGTTGGGGGTCTTTCCAGGTACCTCAAGCCTAGCAACCTCACGTGCTGCGCTACTGAGTGAAGAAAAGGATACTAAAATTAGACATCACGCTTCCAGCTTCCTTGGCTGCTTCTATGACTGAACACTGCGTGGCTACTTTTCATTCATACTTGAACGTTACAAAGATGTGTAGACATTGTTTTGTTTACTATTGTAACAGCATCCCTGCCTTTTCAGAGTAACCTGCTGGGAAAAATGAGATCTCAGTATGTATCTTTCACTTTCCCTTGTTGACAAAAACCTTGCATGAGCAACAGCAGAAATCCTGGAGGGTGAGTAAAAATAATAAAAATTGGCAGACAATTCCAGGTAGTATTGTAATAAGAAAAATAGTTCCACTTCTAATTACTGATGAAATCTTTGTTTCATGACTTTCCATCACTAAACGTGCAGTCCTTATGTAGATGAATCCCTAATTATGCTGATTAAAAAAGAAAAAAGGAGATTTTCTTAATTTATTCCAGTAACAAGCCCCTTTATCAAAAGGAGAGCTACCAGGGGTGCATTTCCTACACTTCTATATCTGGGACAATTCCAGCCCTAGTAGCCTTTTGATTTCTTTCCCTGTCTCAAGCCCTTTCCTCCTGTTAGAGCACACCAACTGCTGTAGAAAACAGACTGCTGCTACAAAAGGAACCCGTAGTGCATCCCCCTCCCCCCACTACCTCTAGTCTCAAAGCGAGCAACAAACTTCCAAAAACGTTTCAAATTCATAAACTCAGACTATAAGATACTGCTAACACAACTACGTGTATCAAACTACTTATAAACTCCCACAAACAGCAACAACAAAAAATCAGCAACATTAAATGCACGGATCTTACGTATGTTGCAGGGCAGAAACAGGATCCCCTTCAGAAGGATGTAAACCCAAAGGACACAAAGATCATGTATTAAAAGACACTTGATGCTGCAGCCTTTGAAATCTCACCTCTTCCTTCACATTTGGGTGATAAAAAACATTACGAACTAAGAGAAATGAAGGGAAGTTAAGAAAAAGAAAATTTAAAATGGATACGAGAAAATAATCTTGAGATGTATTAATATTTTGCACTTCAACAGCACCTTCCAACTACCTAACAAATCAGTAGTCTCAAAACACTTGTGTGAGGCAGGTAATTACTTCAATACCCATTTCACAGAAGAGTCATTTGAGGAAGAGACTAACTGATTTGCCCAAGGACACGCATACACCAAGCCTGGGACAAAGCTGGGAATGTTACCCAGAAGCCAGCTGACTCCCAGTCCTCTGTCTTAATTACTTTTAAACCCTTGCAAGAGACTCTAGAATAGCATCCCAGCGGAACTGATGGAAGTCTCATTTCTCGAGACATTTTAAAATGGAACAGTCAAACTATCTCTAAGTACAAATTGTTCTTGTCTCCCAAGGGACAGGAAAGACAACTTCCTAGGTCTCAGTTTGTCTCTATGGGTCCCTACAAGCACTCTCTTACCTGGAAAAGCCTTTTCCACAGCTCTGGCAGATGTAGGGCTTTCCCACAGAGCCATCGTGAGATCGAACGTGATAGGACATCCTGTCTTTCCGCTTGAACCGTAAGCCACACACGGGACAAGAGTAAGGCTTTTCGCCAGAGTGCGACAGCTTGTGCCGATTCAGGTGGTACACGTCCCGAAAAATCTTGCCACAGATCTCACAGGCCACCTGTTTCCTCGTCCTGCTTCTTTTCCGGGGTGCATCGGGGTCATCCGGACCAGGGACACCATTTTCACCCAGTCTTGGGGGTGGGATGTCTATGTAGCCCAGCTGCAAGCTTGTCACCCCGTGCTGAGCCTCATGCTGGCGAAGACGATTAGCATCCGTGAATACTTTCCCACAGAGGCCACAAGGCAGGATACCAGCCTCTCGCAGGCCCCCCGGGGCACCAAACATCATGGAGTCCAAGAGATTGGCTTTACGGGGACGCCCTCTGCCCCTCTTGGTGCTTAAAGTGGGGGCACTAGCAGCAACGTTCTGGAAGGGCGAGGCCAGCAGCGGTGGGGACAGAGGTCCTGCCACCATGGGCAGGCGGTCCACACCCTGCAGGACAGGTAGGGAGGACTGTGCAGCCGTGAGCGCGGCCCGCGTGGCCTCATCTTCAGGCATTCCAGCAATGCCGTTGCCATTGGGCGCCAAAGCGGTGCCGTTGGTCATGTCAAGAGGGAAGCCGAGGTCCGCAGCCCCCGGACGGAAAAGCATAATGTCAGGGCGTGCGGGGGGGACCAGGATCTGCACATTGGACTGCTTGATCACCTCCTGGCAGATGTCAATCACGGAGCGCATCAGCAAGAACTTGGCGGCCGTCATGAGCTCCGGG